ATGGGGACTCTGTTTACGACGACAATACCGAAGAGCTCGATCATGACTTGGCTAAGACACAAACTCGGGTGTTTTGGTTATGCTTTGTGTCCACTTTCTCTAAGCATGAGTCCTTGGTTTTCATGGTTTCTTCATTCACGACTTGCCCAGTGCAAGGCAATCCAGGAACTGGAATACGACCCCAAGGAATGGTGCTGGGAACAAGACGAACCAAAAACCGACCTCAAAATCTCAGATTATTCGGTTAAGTTGGGGTGCAACCAAGGCTTTTAAAACTAAGTACACCGCCCCTAGCTGCCTCGCCAGAAAAGATACTCGGTGCAATGAACCCAGTCAGGAGGAAAGCTCAACAATGTGGAAGTACAGAATGTCTCAGTGCAGTTTCAATGTCTCCAGTCATACATGTAATCAAGACTCCAATGTCGAGTAACCAGAGAAGAGAGTGATGAGAGGGAGATTAGTCTGAGAGGGTGGAAGAGAAAGTAACCATCAGCTTCAGCAGATAGATCTCCCTCATTGGCCCACTCCTCCTTCGGGCATCTTCCCCTTGCCGCGTCAGCAGACAGTTTCCTCTGACACACACTGACATCGAACAGATCTCAACATAGCGCACACGGCGCAGACTCCTCCTGAAGACAACAGCAAAGCACAATGTCGACATGATCGCGAACAGGTAAGCTCTCCACTCTACAATTGACCAATCTCACAGCCCTGATCCTCCTCCTCACCGATATCCCATCAATGTTGTAGACAGTGTGGCGAGAGCCACGTCAGCATAATCAAGAGAATGGCTGGCGCCAAAGACAGAGAGTGGTGCCAGCGTCAAGCAGTAGCAGTCTTGCGTCGTCGTCGAATATCAAGCCAGCGTCCAGCCAGCGTTGAGCCAGCATCCAGCCAGCGTCAAGCAGCAAGTGCAAGACTGAATGTCGGTCAACAGGGGCTGGGTCAAGTTATAGTGTTGACTCAAGGTTGACCAGCCTCTGGTCTCTCGGATACGACGGCCCAGATTACTTTGCACCCAATGGCTTGGATCCCGTACAGTTGCAGATTTCCACCTGGTCTTGATCCCTTACGGATACCTGCAAACAGCCAAAGGTGTGTGTCTGATCGACGGCCTGGACCGGGTCGGCGTTGACTTTGACTCGTGAATCTGAATTTCTGTGGACTGATGACTTTCTTCGGTCAACTGTCGCAGGTTGGGCCTCTGAAGGCCAGTTTCCAGGTCTTGTTTCGGGTACCCACAGCAGCAGACCTTCTCGTGGGTTGTTGCATGACTTGGGCTTGGCCTATGACCCCTGTTTCGGCCTTTTTCCATGGTAGCAGCCCACGGCCCGCGACTGATGCATGATTCGAGCTGAGTTATTGCACGTGGTTTCCAATGGCAGTTAGCATATGCACCCTTCCCAGTGAATAAATGGCTCCACAAATGCAGGAAGAAGACAGACCCAAACAGCTCGCCTGTGTGCAAAACATGCCCAAACAACAAGTATAATTCTCTGCCTGATAAAATGCCAAAGGGGGCCATCTGTGCCTCTGGTCAAGAGTAGCCAACCTGTGGTTTGCCCGCTTTGCCCTTTCCCCCCCGCCCCCCAATGCTGAGGAAGGTCACTCTGGGCCATCTGGAAGCAGTGGTGCTCCTGACGATTGAGGGTGATGGAACAGACAAGGACCAGACAAGGGCATTCCTCATCCAAATGCAGAGACGGAAATCAGAAGTAGATGAAAGCAGATGAAGTGGAGTTAAGGAAAAGGGCTTCTGTCAGACTTAACATTGGCTATGGTGGACCTTCATCTTCATGCAATGACTTGCTGATTTCTGCTGCCGAGATTGACTGCGAGGCTGTACACTAACCTAGAGGGTTAGATTCGTAATTTTGTTTGGCTGAGGGCTAACCGAGAGACCTGCCTGTGAGGAAATTCGTGAGGGACAGATCTGCAATTCCGGGAAAATACAGGCCCGGTACTAACCCGAATTCCTACAGCTACCCTAACTGCCTATAGCAGGCCCGGGCTACCCCTAGGACAGACAGGCCCTAAGTGGCCTATTCTGCTAGACCTGTCTCTTATACACATCTAGATGTGTATAAGAGACAGGAAGTCTATAAGGAGTTTAGGAAAATCGGTTGGGGACTTTTGGCTTTTCATTTTTCGCGTGCAGCGTTCGGGGCCAACCAAGTTGTGCAGCGCTGAAAGTCTACAGCGGCACCTGAGACCTCAGCTACATGAGGCAGCCATAGCCGAGCTGGCCGCAATCCCGACGCGACCACAATCCCGACCCGACCCGACCCGACCCGACCCGAGAGATTGATGCTATTCCCGGCGCGAGCAATCAATCAACCAATCAATCGGTATATCAATTGATTGGTTGATTAATTGATTGATTGATCGATTGATCGATTGATTGATTGGTTGGCTGATTGATTGATTGATTGATTGATTGGTTGGTTGGTTGATTGATTGCTTGGCTGATTGATTGATTGATTGCTACAAACTTTTTGATTGATTGGTTGGTTGATTGCGCTGCTTCTCTATCCTTCTTGCCATATCCAGTGCTGCCCAACACTCTTTCTCTATTTCGAAGGCAGGAAGGGTACGACCTTTCTCTCTTTCCTTTGCAGACTCTTCTTCTAGCAACTTCGGGTTTTCTCTCTCCTTCTCCAAGTACTTGCGTGCCTCCCTGTCCCGTTCCCTGTCCTTTTCCTGTTGAACCCGCTGTCTCTCCTCTTCCTCCATATCCGCTTGGACCTCCCACGCATACCTTAGTTGTCATAGGTACCTGCCACGTGTGCACTCGACTCCATGCACAACATCCCTCCTAGAGAACAGGCTGTCGTTGGGCCATCGTATGCTAAACGGGTTTATGGATCCTCCTTGCGCACGGCTCTTGTTGCTCCTGGAGCTCGCCCCGTTGTCATGCACCATGCTGTTGTGGGGAGAGAGAGAGAGAGAGAGAGAGAGAGAGAGAGAGAGAGAGAGAGAGAGAGAGAGAGGCTCCCTGAGACAGCCATAGCTGGAGCTGGTCCCAGCGCATCTACGCTCTGGGGGTATCTGCGCTCGGGAGGGCTATTCAGAGGCTCTTCGCTGGGTACATGTGGGCGCTGCTGCTACGGTAGCAGCCTGGCAGCCATAGTTGCCTTCTTCATCGTCAGAGTGACTCATCGGCACTGGGGACTACACCGCTGTTCATGATCTTCATCTGGGTGTATTGGGAGGCTGTTTTAGTGCAGCGCTAGACTCTGAGAGTGAAGTAGTGAGTGGAGTGTGTGGTACTGGGGTGGCGAGACATTGGGTTGAACTCTGTAACGATGATTGAGGTTAATTGAGTTGAGTTGGCTCATCATCTGTGCTATATTCCAATTGTGATCTTCGCAGTGTCATATTGTGATTGGTTGTTGGGAGTGTGTCAAAGAGAGAGAGAAACACTGTGTGTAATCTCCCCGTCTGTGCATTGTTGCTATTCCGCTGCTTATCTTTGGTCTGTGTGCAGTTGGACTCTGTCTCCTCCTCCCCTTTGTCTCATGCATGTATGGGCGTGTGTGAGTTCTTCTGTGTGTGAGTGGCAAACAAANTGGTCTGTGTGCAGTTGGACTCTGTCTCCTCCTCCCCTTTGTCTCATGCATGTATGGGCGTGTGTGAGTTCTTCTGTGTGTGAGTGGCAAACAAACCAAGTTCATAACAGTTGGTATCGGAGCGGAGATTGGATTTGGAGCACTGAGGGTTGAGCGCAACAGGGGCATCCTCTTCTTCTGGCCCTAACTGGCGAGAAGTTCCATGGCGGCTCTGTATCTTCAGTAAAGATCCAATGGAGAAGAGGACCTACAAGCGGTGATTGCAAAGCATCAATGTGCGATTGATCAGGCACCTTGAGCCTGTCCGAGTGCCTGACAGGAATTGGCGAGAACAGGGGTATTTCGCCATCCACCCTTCTGAGCTCAGTTGATGACTGGGTTCAGGGTGGCGAATTACACCCTAATCCAGTGATAACTGGGTGGCGGCTTCAATCCCACTACAGCGCTGAGGGAGGATTGATCGCAGGATCAATCTCCTGCTGAATTAACCCTATTCAGGGCCAAATTTAGCACCAACGGCTTACTGCTGCAGTGGCGAGATATCTTCAGGAGAGTTTTCTCTCGTCACTGAGCCAGATTCAGTGAATCTGAGAGTTGGGGCTGAATCGCCACATCATACTGGACAAGACCAACAAGTTTCAGGAGATTCTGCACGTGGAAATCAGTGGAAGAGTGTCTTCAAGCAAGTGGCGAGATCAGGGTCTGGCAGCCATAGCCAGAGCTTCATCATCCACTGAGTCAAACACTGCAAGTGAGTGTGTTCCGTGTGAATCCCTGTGTAGCGATTACTTTTGAGTCAGTAGAATCTGAATTGATGGTGTGTCTGTCAGTAGGGTCTCAATTTTGAAATTGTCAGACTGCAAGACAACCATTCTTCCTCCCTACCCTGAATCATATCTCACCATCTATTGACCTGTTCTAACTCAAAATTGTTCTCGGACTGCATGACAGTATTGCGCTGCACCCTGTATGATCATTCTGTGAGTTTTGTACAGAAAAAGTAGTAATACTGTGGATTTGAGTTTTGCGCTGAGTCTATTTATAGTCTGTGCTATCTAGGTCAGTCATAACTCAAAATCCGTCCGTCAAAATTCAAGTCTGATAGTCTGGGGTGAATCGCAATTCAATTTCTGTCATCTGTGCTCAAGCGCTAGTCCAGAATCAGTGAATTTGAGCAATTACAGTGAAATACTAAAAATCACAGTATCTGTGGGTATTTCTGTTGATGCCAACAGTGGCGAAATTTGAGTTTAGGGCTATCAGGGTCTAGTCTACTGCATCGCTACTCCCTGTTGTCCTGTTCTAGTCAGTTCTTGCCTATATCTATCACTACCACTAATTATCTTTGTTTTCTGATGGGCTCTGGAAGCCTAGTGGTCACTGGAATGCACTGAGCCTGTAGAGTTCAAGTGTAACAATGGTTCAGTGTCAGGAATAGGAAATTGTGAGTGAATGATTTTACTGGACATCCAGTCTGCCTGATTACTGACCCCAGTGACTGTATTCTAACCCTAACCGCTTGTGCCTACTAACCCACCTTACCCTGTGAATTGACAGTGCAGCGATTCCTGAGAGTCTGAGTGGATTGAGTATCGTTGCACCTCTAGCTGTCTAACTTTGTCGTTTATTGTATCTGAAAGGGAAGATGTCTGACGCGGCTGACTCAGGTGAGGGAAAGGTAGAGGTAGTAGTCAAGGAGGAAGAGAAATCTTCCCCCTCTACTCCTACCCCTCCTCCTCTCACCCCTGCTCAGCGGCGCAAGAGGGAAATTCAGGAAAAACTGCGAGAGCAACAGGCGTTGCTCGCAGAAGCTGAGAGACATGAGGCGACAAAATCGGAGGCTGCAACAGATGCTTCTTGCAAGGAGTTTCTGCTGCAGCAAGCAGAGAAGACCATGGCTGATGATAGGGTGGCCCAATGTACAAAGTATTTGGCTGAGCTTGTGATTCTGCAGAACAAAATCACAGCCAGCCACTTCACCGATTGGGATGAGAGAATTCAGCGTTTGGAAACCAGGGTAGGCGACCTGGGGACTCAGCAGTCCAAGATCCTGGATTCAATCCAGAATCTGACTGCTCAGTTAACATCAGCCAACCTGATCACCCCTCTGCTACCTGTGGTCCCCTCTCCAAAACCCAAACAGACTTCTCAGCCTCCTTCACCTCCTTCTTCTCCTCATACTTCCCACAAGTCATCTCCCTCTATCTCCTCCCAGGCTAAAGCCAAACCTCCTCCCACTTTTGCTGCTGTAGTTGCTGGGGATCAGCGAGGACCCAAGATCCCTGCACTCAGCAAATTCAAGGGCGATGACCCTAAAATTGATGTTGGGGACTGGGCAGCAGGAACCCGGGCTTATTTGAAGGGGTTCCAGTGCCCAGAACAGCAGAAAGTGGCCACCGTTGTGGGGCTGCTGGAGGGCCCATCCCAGAAATGGGCTACATCTACAGCCAGCGTCCAGTCACAGACTTTGGAGGACTGGGCCCTAGCCCTGGGACTGGACAAACTTTTGCAGGCCCTGGAGGACAGGTTTGCAGACAAAGAGCGTGCACATAAGGCTGCTGACAAGATTGTACGCCTTGGACAGCAGCGCTACAGTGGCAGTCTGCAGGCCCTCTTTGCTGAGTTTGAGCAACTAACCTCCACCCCTGGCTTGGTTATGTCTGCTGATGATTTGTTGACTAACTTTTGCAGGGCTGCGCCTGAAAAGTTTTCTGCTGCATTGTACAGCGAAGGGCACAAAAACTGGAGATCTTTTGGCCGCGCAGCACTGGATATGGAGGCTAAGCTCCATGTCCAGGCCCCTTCCAGTGACCGGAAGAAAGGCGCTTTCCCTCGCGGTGGTAGAAGGGGAAAAGCGGCCTTTGCACATGCAGGATCTGCGTCATCTTCTGATGCAGGATCCCTGCCTGGTACACCGCCAGGTGGGACTGCATCAGCTGCTGTCACAGATGTTGCAGCGGCCATCCAGCAGCTGCAGGCTGCGCTGGGGGCCCTCCAAAAGGCCGGGTCTTTCTCCAGCACAACCTCCAGCAGCAAGGGGAAGAGCCAGGGACGTCGCTCTTCAACCCCTGCCCGACGCCCTAACTTGCCACGTGACGTCCGATTTCCAACAGACCCCCTGAATCCCAACATCCTTCCCTGGCATGATCTGAAAATTCAGGAAGGGGTGTGGAGAAAAAGGAAGGAGAGGGGAGTCTGTTTGAGGTGTGAGGGACAACATTTTCTGAAGGACTGTCCCTACATGCCCAGCCCAACTCAGTCAAAAAACTGAAGCTGACCCTGGAGACTGCAGTTCCCTCCAGTGCTGCACCTGCATCTGCATCTGCAGCAGCTTCAGTTGAGACCTATGTCCTGCCCAGTATGGGGACTGCACTGGCAGCATCCTTCAGTTATGAGGATCCTGACCCGGATCAGGAACCGGATCAGTCTGAGTGTCAGTCACTTGCTGTTTTTTTCTTTCATCTGAAAAAACAAAAGAAAAGCAAGTCTGACCTCATACTCCTTCGGCCCCTGATCAATCACAGCAGAATCAAAGGGCTGCTGGACTGTGGAGCCACCTGAAATTTCATGTCCCCCAGTGCAGTCAAAAAACTGCATCTGGGCATGAAAGTGGTGCAACTGCAGCATGTCAGGATAGGTGACTCCACTGTACTGACTATCAGGGAGAAGGTCAGGGGCATCCCTGTTACCTTCGACAGTGCTGGAAAAGTTAGACATAGTCTGAACTTCTACATATTCCCTGATCTACCCTTTGACTTGGTTTTCTCTATGCAGTGGCTGAAAGCCGTCAACCCAAGGATCGACTGGCAGATCCCCAAGGTTGAGCTGCCGAACAGCAAGGGGGTGTATCAGCCATGCATGATTGCTGCTGAACACCACCCTAAGACCTCATGCTTCTGCCTGAGAGCGAGAGAGTTTTATGCTCTCTCACGCCAGTATGACCACGAGCGTCTGTTTATAGCTCTGGTCAAGCAGACAGATGCTCCCACTGTTTCCTGTCCTCCTGAGATACAGCAGGTGGTGGACCAGTATGCTGATCTGATGCGGGAGCCCTTTGGGTTACCCAACCGGCCAACCAAGCATCACATTGAGCTGCTGCCTGGAGCGGTCCCTCCCAAGGGCCGCATCTACAGGATGTCCCCTGCTGAGCTTGAGGAGCTCAGAAAACAGCTTGAGACCCTGACCAGCAAAGGCTGGATCAGACCCAACACATCTGAATTCGGTGCACCTGTTCTCTTTGTACCCAAAGGTAACGGCGAGTTCAGGATGTGCATTGACTACAGGGGTCTCAACAAGATCACTAGGAAGAGCACTGAGCCACTTCCTAGGATCGATGACCTGCTGGACATGGTCCAGGGATGTACGATCTTCAGCAAAGTCGATCTCAAATCTGGCTACCACCAGATTGAGATGGCAGAGGAGGATGTCTACAAGACAGCCTTCAAAACCAGATATGGTACTTATGAGTATCTGGTTATGCCATTTGGACTTTGCAATGCACCTGGCACGTTCCAGATAGAGATGCACCGCATCTTCAGGCCTTACCTGGATAAGTTTATGGTTGTCTACCTGGATGATATCCTGGTATTCAGCAAAACTACCAGGGAACATGCGGAGCACCTGGCTCTGGTTCTTTAGTCATTACGTGACAGCCAGTACAAGATCAACAAAGAGAAACTCTTTTGGAGTTCCCTCTGTGATCTACCTGGGTCATGTAATCCTGGAGATGGTCTGGCCCCTGAAACAACCAAAATTGCTGCTATTCAGGACTGGTCACAGCCCCAGACAGTGAGAGATGTTCGGTCCTTCTTGGGTTTGGCCTCATACTACAGAAAGTTCGTTAGGAACTTTTCTGCAGTGGTTGCACCCCTGACTAACCTCACAAAGAAAGACACTCCCTTTCTTTGGACTCTTCACTGCCAGATGGCCTTTGCACGACTCAAACAGGCCTTGACTTGTGCCCCTGTTCTGAAGCTACCTGACCCCACTTTGCCATTTGTCTTGACCACTGACGCCAATCAGTATGGCATTGGGGCAGTACTTCAGCAGGATGATGGGAATGGTCTGAGACCGGTCGAGTTTATGAGTAAGAAGATCAAGACTCAGAAGCTTCAGGACTCTACCTACGAGAAAGAGCTATATGCTCTTGTCACTGCCCTAAAACATTGGAAGCACTTTCTCCTGGGCAGGCACTTCAAGATCTTCTATGATCATTCCACTTTGCAGTGGTTGAAGTCCCAGGGAGAGTTGAACGACCAGTTGGCACGCTACATTCAGTTCATCGACCTGTTTGACTTTGAACTGAAGCACAAGAAGGGCTGCTACAATAAGGTAGCTGACGCCCTCTCTCGTAGGCCTGATTCTTTTGCACTGATCTCCTCTACTTACTCCTTTGGAGAGGAGGTCCGTCAGACCATTACTTGCTTACTGCCTCAGGATCTGACCTATGGACCCATTGTCAGGAATCTGCAAGCAGATCCCAATTCTGAACCTGGCTATGCCATGAGTTCAGATCTGCTGTACACTTACAGCGGAGGAGAGGAGCATTTATGCATTCCTGAGGATTAGCAGCTTAGGACACTGCTGATGTCAGAGTGCCACGATGCGCGTGGACACTTTGGGTTCTTGAAGTCGTATGCAGCCCTGTCGCAGCGCTTCTTCTGGAAGGAGATGCGGAGTGATATGCTGTGCTATGTGGAAACCTGTGAGCTATGTCAGAGGAATAAGGTTCAGCGGAAACCTCCTCTGGGATTGCTCAAGCCCTTACCCATACCTGATGGTCCTGCTCAGTCTGTGTCTATTGACTTTACAGACTTAGGCAAGACCAACCCCCGTGGCATGCGTCAGGTCATGGTCTGCGTTGACAGGTTTTCCAAATACGCAGAGTTCATCCCCTTACCAGAAGTAGCGAGGGTCCCGGCCGTGAGAGCAGCCTTCTCTGAGAGGTGGGTCACACACCATGGACCGCCCACTTCTATTGTCGGCGATCGAGATCCCCGATTTTGCAGCGATGAGTGGCAGTCCTACTGTAAGGACTACCTACACTCTCGACTGGATATGACTTCTGGTCGTCATCCTGAAGCCAATGGTCAGGCTGAAGTGATGAACCAGATCTTGTTCCAATTGCTGCATCCTGTCATCTCACCAGATCAACAGGACCGGGACCTCCATCTCGCTCGTGCACAGCTCGTGTATAACATGTCTGTCCACTCCTCGACTGGATTCAGTCCCTATCGACTACATTGGGGACGAGAGCCATGTCAGCCTCTCGATGATATCATCGACAAGGCGAAGACAAACCTGACCCCAGGCACAACGGAGTTCACCAGACGCTATCGTCTGGATGTGGAAAGAGCTCGGGCGAACTTGTTCAAAGCCCAAAAGGCTATGATTGAATAAGCTAATCGCCATCGCAGACCTTCCCCCATCCGCACTGGTGATTATGTCTGGATGGCCAGTTCAGAGTTGTCAAGGGAGGAGGATATTTCTCCTAAGCTGTTGCCACGATACCTGGGTCCGTGGCAGGTGTTAGATACAGTAGGGGCTGATCCCTTTGGTCCGTCCTACACCATTGACGTCCCCCTGCATCTACGTACCTATCCGGTCTTCCATGCATCTAAGCTGCTTCCCTTTACTCCAGCTGATGCATTCCCTGACCGGCCCCCWCAGTGGGGTCCACCAATCCCTGGTAAGGGATATGACATGGAGGCCATTGAGGATGAGTGGGGCACTGGCCCCGACAGGCAGTATCTTGTGAAGTTCGCCTTCCAACCCCCGACGGAGAGTCGGTGGTATTATAGGAAGGACCTTCTCAAGACAGCAAAGTTTATTGTGCTGCGGTATGAAGCGGCTCAGAAGGGTAACCTTCGCCGTTCACCGTGTCTGCACCCCTAGCTCGGAGGTCCTCGCTCCTGGGGAGGGTAAGCCTGCAATGACTTGCTGATTTCTGCTGCCGAGATTGATGGCGCGGCTGTACACTAACCTAGAGGGTTAGATTCGTAATTTTGTTTGGCTGAGGGCTAACCGAGAGACCTGCCTGTGAGGAAATTCGTGAGGGACAGAT